AAGCAAAGTAGATCTATGTGTGAAGAAAATAAGATTGTCGAGTATTTGTTTGTACCTAATAAACCTACAGTAAAAACTTGATAAGGGATGTAACATTAAAGGTGTGCTGTATTTTAAGTTGAAGTATTTTAATCACTAATTAACTTCTAGATTAACCTTTATTTTGTATAACATAACAATTGTATTTAACCTTTTAAAAAAAACAAAAGGTGTTGTATACAAGCTGGTTTTCCTATACTGCTTGAATCCTTTAGGTTTAAAAGTTATATTTTATAAAGTGTTCAGTCAAATCATGTACATGTATATTTATGTTTTATTAAAGCAGATATACAATTACAAAATATTATCAGCTGTCTGGCTGAGAACTGCCGTTGATGGTCAGTTTGTGTGCCAAAATAAATTATAATTAAACTTTAAACAACAGGTAAGTTTACAATGTTGAGAAAGACAAACTTGTGTATGGGTCGGCTGTCCATTCTTTGTTGAAGATGATTTTCCATTTACTGATGCTATGGATTTATTGCTTGAAAATAATGTTTAACCAAACTAGATAAAAATGCCTAATCAATTGTGTTAAAATCTTGAACATTCTGTATTTATTACAAGTTTTAATAACATTGAAACACAACTGGACCTCTTCACAGAACAGTGACTGTCTATATACATGAGTTGACACTTGCTAATTGGTTGTTTGAAGGCAATAGTAAGTTAAAGTAGAGCTTCGATGTGTATCTAATGGGGGAAAAAATCCCCTTTTGAAAAATGGTATCAGGTGTTTAAAAATTGACAAATATAGCTTACACTATCAATGCACAGTGCCTACCATTTCTTTTCTATTTAAATGAGTCCTATAAAACCAAAAGCATTCAGAATAAAATAAATAAATCTATGAATGATTTCCACTGCATTCAAGTGAGGAATCTTTTTAACTTTTCCGGGGACATGTTTCGAATTAAGTCATAACTTTTCTGAAATAGCTTCCGCGTTTCTTTATATCTGTAAGTCACATAGAACAAAATGTGGCAAAAATGAGGATGTATAGCAGTGTTGGGATTTCGAAATTTTTCTTGTCAGACATTTTTACCGTAAATATAGGGACATAACTCTTATTATTTAAGCAGGCAGTGTTAGATGACACACAAAAATCATGCGTCAACAAGATATTCAAATTCGTCCGTAATAAAAAAATATGTGCACCTCGTTATCTTTCATATTATTTAATTCTTGTGCGGTATTCAAATTTATGTCAGTAACATTCCCACAAAATTACGTGTTGTGCAGACTACTGTCGACCCATATTATTTTCACCTCCTATTGTTGTGATCTGGATTGCAAGATTAAACTGTAGCTCTCAAACAAGATTCACAATCATCCATTTAGAAAAGTGCAGTGTCAGAATTGCATATCAGTATATGTTATATCTTTACATTATGTAAATATTTATTGAATAAATAGTGTCTGAAGAAAAAAAAAATACAAATTATAACTGCAGAAGTCAGAGTTTTAAATTATGGTTATTGGTAGGTTACAAAAGTACAAATGAATTGTCTGGCTGGCAGGTGTAATGGCCTCTGTTTAAAAAAAATAAAAAATACATATCTTGTATTTCATGAAGCAAATAAGTTTGCTGTGATATGATGAGGTATAGATTATTTTAGATTTACTGATTTCAGTTTAAAATTGTTCATCCGTTAAGATGACTTTGATTAGTTATAATCTAGTCAAATAATAAACAAATCAAAGTGATCAAATTAAGTAATTTATTTTCAAAGCAAATTTATTGGATTTTATTTGATCTGATTTTAAAAGAAAACCAGAGGTATTGAGATAATAAAATTTGTTAACTTTCTTCAAGCCATTAATACTAGACCAGTAGGAGTTTTGAATTTAAACTGTTAGAAGGTCTACAATTTTTTTGCCGGAACTTGAAAAATGTAGTTATGCTTTTGCTAAAAATAAAAAACCCAAGTGTTTGAAAAATTGAGGATGTTCATATGTACATGGGTTCTGGAGGGGCAATGAGATATTTCATTATATACAAACATGAGGGACAACCATACTTTTGTAAAAAAAATACACAATAAAATGTTAAAAGATGCTTTATATTTTTGGGGTAAACCTTTTCTAATAAAGTATCCATCTTCTTAATCTGTTGAACATGGCTTCAAGGACAATGCCGAGTTACTCTTTAGTACAAAAGTAAGAACATGTAGACATGCGGTAATGACGTAAAACATGGCCTTTTTGCAGATCTAAATGTGTGCAGCCTACCTGTGCTTCCATTATAACCTAAAAGTCAAAATACCATTTTATCAGAATAGAAAGCTACAGTACAATGGAGAAACAGTCATGAATAAAACAGATGCCTCATCTACATTCTATATACCAGATATAATTTACAATGATTATCTGCTTTTATTATCTGGGTTAGTAATGTTAGTTTGTTTTATTAGTATCTTCCAGAGATACGATCTTGCACATCTATAGACTACATGCAACAATCTTGGAATATCATAGAATATGTTCAGAGTTGCATTTCCAGATGATGTGCCTAATAATAAACACATGACAAGAAATGAATCGAACCCTGGACCTCCTGATTAGTGAGCTAGAGCCTTACTCACTGAGCCACTACTGCTCCCAATATAAGAAACACTTTTTTGCCTGCATGTTTTGCATTCCTTATTGTTAGATATCTCAACATGATGGAATTTCTCAGATTGTGTGAGTTATATTGGCAAGGTCAGGTCTCTTATACAACCAGCATAGCAATAAAATACATTAATTATATACATTTAATGGTCAAAGATGATATAAATAGGATACAAATAAAACTAAATCAATTTTTGGTAGGCAGTAGGCATTTTCATCAATCAAAGACATTGTTTATAAAGATGAAAAATCAATTTATGAATAATGAATTTAGATAAGATTGTTTATTCAGTCAGATTCAACCACTGTATGACATGTTCAGGATTTGATCTGAATGACTACATATAGTTAACATCTGATTGATTTTATATTTATACACCGTGTTTATGCCTATATATACATAATTGAAACGATTAACTTTAGATTGATACACAGAGTTAAAGGTTTTGAAACGAACAAGTATATTGATTTTCAATGATTTTTGATAACTTGAACAGCTAAATCCAGGATATTAAATGTTTTGTATACTAAACGTTTTCATGGACCAAACAAATTTAGTGTATTATAAAATTACTGACAAAAGTAAAAATATGCGACAACTATTGTTGACTGCCCTGACGATTTAGCTGCTTTGGACATATGTTTCATTGCATGGCAACCTATCTTTCATATCAGTGCTGCAAATATGCTGATACATTTTAATGTTGTGCAACTATGTCTATTATTTCTAATACTATATTATGCTGTTCAGAAATGGGAGGGAGGGGAGGGCGAATGGTTAGCATGTCCGCATTGCATCATAAGGTTTGTCATTGAGTCAACTGGCATGGTTTCGAATCGCCAGTTGTACGTGACAAGGAGTAGGGTCAGCTGTTCAACCTTGTGGGTTCTCTCTGGGTCTTCCGGTTTCCTCCCACTGCTAACACTGTAACCCAGGTATCGTTTAATCTAGCAATAATTTCTTTCACATTCGTTTAATATCAAATCTTTGTTTAAAAAAATTGTTTAAAATCACCAAAAATCATCTAATTTGTACATGTGTCCAGTTTAAAGCTGACTGATTAATTTTGATAATGAGTGTCCAATTTACAAGTATTTAATTTCCTGATCACTGTTCAAAAATTAATCATTATACATCATTAATCAATTGGGTTGATTATTTTTTAACAATGATTGAGAAATTAAACACTTGTAAATTGGACACTCATTATCAAATTGAATGGTCAGCTTTAAACTGGACAGAAGTACAAATTAAACGATTTATGGTGATTTTAAAAAGTTTTTACAAATTTTTGAACAAAGATTGGATATTAAACGAATGTGAAAGAAATTAGTGCTAGATACACAAGATTAAACGATACCTGGGTTACAGTGTAAAGACCCCTACGCGCAAGAGAATTCTTGAAATAAAATTTAACCATATAGTTAGTTCCCGAAATGACCTAGTTTATGTTGAGTGGACATTAAACCCCATCCCTCTCTCTCTCTCTCTCTCTCTCTCTCTCTCTCTCTCTCTCTCAGAAATGAGATCTACCCATATGACCAACACTGTACATATCAGCCTGCATGTAAAAGAATCCTTGAAAGTTGGATTTCAGTGAAGAGTTAGTGGAGATCATGCTGTCTGGGTAAAATTCTCATACTAAGTGTTACACATGTTTCCATAGAAATAAAAATAACTGTTCTTTGATTCAAAAGTATTGTGATAAACCCAATTGTCCTTACTGCTGGATTTTGTTATACAAGGTAGAAATTGTACTTTTTAAATATAGATCTAGTACAGGCACTGAGATCATGCAGCACTGCAATCATGAGGGTGTTGACATAGTTTTTATTATTCAGCAGTATTGGAGGTTAATGTGATCATTTAGAAACTACTCAATCATTATATTACAGTTAGGTGTGATTTAATCTTGTATGACGTGAATGGTGCCCTTTAAACATATTTTTTTTTTATAAAAAGCACCCTTTTTTTTATTGAATCAATCTCAAACAAGCTGACTTTTACTGTTATACATTCTATAGAGTCAGTGATAATCATAATGTAAACATCAAATCTTCTCAATGAATTTATTTCCTGTCAGTGTCACAAAGGTAAATGATACAAATTTCCATTTTACTTGGCTAAATTTGTCTTTAATCATTTGAACATTTCCTTTACATTATTTTCCATCAAATACAAGGACACACCGATTTCAATGGCCGAATAATGTTTTCTTCTGTTTAAAAGGTAGCGTGTGGTTTGGCATTCTGTATGAAATGTTTATTGAAATGTCAAGCAATCTATCTTGATAATACATTCTACAATATGTATGTCAGTGTATTTAGTCGGATATAAACATCACAGGTCCGTCATTCATAAGTGTTGATAGTTCTGGAAGATCACATAGTAGTACAGTACAGAGTTTATCTTAAAGGTTAGGCACAGCAGTTTATGAAATTAGGTAAGTAGTTTATTGGTTTGACTTCTAGAAGACATATTAATGTATTCTTCCATTGATGAGTAGTTTTTATGCTTTTCTTACTGACAAAGAGAACATTCAAAAGTTAAAATCTAGCTAGATTACTGTAGTTCCAACTGATACAAATACTTAGTTGTAAGCTAACTCGATCAGGAAGGTTTATATAGATCAGAAAAATGAAGTAAGATCTGAGGATGTGTGTGTGTTGGACAGCAGGGGGTGTTATAGCTTAAAATACTGTATAAAAGTATAGATAATGACATCATTGTCTTGTTAAGCCACTTTGCAGTCAGTCGAGTCAGACATTTGCATGCAATCAAATTATTTAAAATAAAAATATGCCATATGGTAATGCCAAAATGACATAAACTTTAAACCCCATATCTCTCCTCCTCCCCCTCCCCCATATCCCCCACCCCCCACCCCCCACCACCACCACCACTTGACCCTAGAGATTTATGGCCTTTTAAATAGTGAACAGTTCTATTGATAATAGTATTAACTGTTGTAGGATATTTGATGAATTGATTATTGGCTTACAAGGAAAAGTACTAACAGTTGATTCAGATTTCGGTGAAATTTTGTGACATTATTCACACAGTGAATTTAGTTAGATATTGTATTGGCGTAATCAAATAGGACCATTACTGTAAACATAAAATGATGGGTCGAGTGGTTAGTTATCAGCTTGTAATTAATTTAATTTGTCAATGGTTTAGAATTTGTGGGGGCGTTCTGTTAATAGTGTGCAACAAATCTTTTCTTTTTTGTTTTTTCGTTTTCATAAGTTGCATTTTTATGAAATAATATTTTTTATTTTTCTTTAATTTATATTCTGAAACATGTTTACAATAATAATACATTGTTCATGATGAAAAAACAAATGAAAAGTAAGGAATTTTTATTCAACTGATATAACTTGCCTCGAGTAACCTTGAAGTTAAACATGAACTTGAAACAGTACTGTCAAGGTGAGAACAAAGCTACATAGTGAACTTAAGTATGACTTAATTCCTAATACCCCTACTAATGATCATGTATACATAATATACTATACTCATCGTTTATTTTTTACTGTGGAATGTTTTGTCATTTGGCACATGTGGTACTTTACAAGATACTTATTGTCTTGTGTTTGTCTAAATCTTTTCAAGAGATAATATTTGGTTGGCGATACTTATTGTATAACCAGGAGAATAATGTTATTACCTATAATAGTATAGTATGTAGGTATGTCCACAATAATAAACATAATTTTCTACTTAAATGCCTAGATGTCATTACTAACATTTTGAGACTCTTATTGTTTTGAACATATTTTCTTAGAAATAATTTTAATCATTCTTTAAAATCAAATTTTTAATTCACATTTGCACAATTTTGGGAGTAAGCATCTTCTTACTAGATTTGTTAAATTTATATAATTCGCTGAAATTCAGCCAATTAAAAATGATGCCGTTATTCAGTGGAAGTCACAGCAAATGCTAATCTAAATTGTCTAAATTGGAACACTTTTTTAGGGATATTGTATGATTTTAGTACAGTATTTCTCAGAAATGAAAAATATGTCGTTCGAGAACATTCCAAAAGTGCTCTGGAAGAACTTTCCAAAGAACAATTGTTGTACTAAATTTGGTCAAAATATGGTTCAGATCTATTAACAACAGCTGTTAGTATATATATATATATAATATGTGGGTTTTTTTCTCTGTTTTATTTAGGTTTTTTTTTCACCTTTTCTCTCCGTCTGTGTAATGTGGGAACATTCCCATTAAGCACTTGATTGATTCAATCATGTAGGTTATATTAAAAGAAACAAATAAACAAAATTAATTTGTCTGTGAAATGTGCATTATCTTGTCTATAACATGCCTTGATTGAACTTTAAATCTCAGTCACTCCATCATTTACAGGTCTGGTTTTCCTTTATATCAAAGTAAATATTATCAGTTAATTAGACAGTTTTATAACTAGAAGCTAGTCAATTTATGGGCACATTAATGCATTTGGTTATCAGGTTTCACCTATTGATATTTCTATCCAATACAGTCTCTTTGAGGATTTTTTTATATTTTTTTTTTTAAAAGCTTCTGATTTTAGGGTTGTTTTTTTTTTTACAATGATCAACAAAATACTTAATGCATAATAATAAGAAATTACAAACAATCAACATTTGGCAGTTGGAATTAAGTGTTTTTTTTAGCTTGTTTTCTGTCCAACTCTTGCAAAATGTGGGTGTATCTTGCATGGCAACTGCTTGTTAGAGAAGTTCGAAGAAGTGAAATGGAAAGAATAAAAAAATTATTAGACATATATTATGCAAGAGCTAAATCTGACAGAACTAGGCAGTATTAATCCACATATTGAAACAGAATTTGAAGTCGATCAGCAAAAAATAACGGGGAGACCTTGATACGGAGAAAACGACTCCAGAAACCAAGATTCCTCGATCCACCGGCAACACAAAGAAAAAAGTATGTTCGGAGATTACCAATAAACTTAATTGTGACAGATTCTGTGTTCAAAACTCGAATATAAATGGGTTCAAAGTTACCTTGATTCCACCTCCTAGAATCACAACAAGTTGTAACTAAAATATTGACGTTAAAGAGGATTTTAATGCGTGTTCTTGATACACTTTTCCCACTAAATAAACAAATAATAGAAACGCTCACACTAGTCGAAAATACATCGCGACACAGGCCCACCATAGATTGAATTGGCCCCAATGTCTAGGGTTTTGTCCATGGAAGGTCCCATCACTGACATTAGCAGATGGAGTCCTTAGTCCGACCATGCTCACATCGCTTTTTTGCTCAACTCAGACTTTTTGCCCCATGGTTAATCCCGCACTGCGATTGCTGTCGCACTCATTTCTAGCATCAATAACAATAAGAGTAAAACATAGGTTTTTACATCGTGGATGTGGGGGGCTAGCACCATACAGGGTCCAACTGCCACTTGCGTTCTTTTTCGTCTCCAGTCTTCTCGATAACAGTTCATTTGTCACCAGAGTAAATTGATCATGACCATAATCGGCCATCAATTATCAGAACTTGATGAAATTTGTTGCAAATCACAAGTATGTTCTAGACATAGGTAAACTTGTATTTGTTTTGATTGTCTAAATTGTGGTACAGGGTACAATTTTCTACCCTTTTTTTTCTAAAATGTAGCTTTTTTTTAAGTAAGGAAAACGATCATTAGCCTTCTGGCACATTGGGGTTAAGGTCAGTGCTTGTCATTATTGAATTCGTTTCAAATCTAAACTAGCCTTGAGGATGGATGAATAAATAACGAACCAATTTGGATTTGAACTGAAATGACCTTTAGTATAGCTTAGTTTGTGCTAGAAAATAATGAACAGATAATTTGTGATGGTGATAATTTATAGGATGTTAACTATCATGTTATTGGGGAATTATTTGACCCACAAATAGACACTTTGGTCTAGACCAATTTTCTTTTGATTTACCTATTGCCATCTATGACTTAAGCCAAAATGGATTTGAATGAACCAAGACCATTCTTGTTAGAAGTTCAGAATTCATTTGATTAAGATGTATTTGATCAAAAATTTGTCCTTGTTAGCTAGTAATAGACAAACCACAAATTATCAAACATTTTTTGATATGTCAAATCTTTGAATGACAGTCTAACTCAATATTTTCCCTAATTCTCGAAATTAGAAACATGAATTGATATTCTAGACCAGAGGCTCAGTGTGGGTGGTTTTGGGGAGGGTTGGGGCACAAAACCAGACCCAACTTTTCTATGGTAAAATTTGGAGTAGAATACAATGTCGAGTAGAATACAATGTTTGGGCGTTTTCGAGATGTTCAGGGTTAAAGGTCAAATGATGTCGTTTACACTGAAAGTGAATACACAGCCATTCTTGTATCATGAAAACATGCTGAAAATGATCGAAAGTAATCGCTCTTTAAACGAAAGCATCGCTATCGGTGTAATATACGTCCACATTCCTGCTTTTATTCAGATGTTACTTTTTAAAATAAAGAAGGCTAGGCATTGGGCTTGTTTTGCCAAATTTACAGACTAAATTCAACAAAACGTGGGTGTGACACCGTCCCTGGTGGTCGGGACATGCACCAAAATAAATAGTTGTCTGTAGACAAAATTTGGAAAAATTGGGCGTGGCTCTGCCCCTGGGGGTTGGACATGACCAATATAAATAGGTACAACCCTATGATGAATCATACTGAATTGGATCCCAATATGTTAATAATTGCAACCTGTAGATTATTTACAGACAAAATATTAAACAAAAAGTGGGAGTTGGGACATGCACCAAAATCAATAGTTGCCATCATCAAAATGCACTGTTGTTTGATCTAGGGGACGTATACCTTTTATAGATCATATGTTCTAATTTAAATTTTACTTGTTTCAGGAATTTAAGAACTGAGAGGGGTTTCTAAAACTAGTTGGTGAATTGTTTTGAAAATAAAGTTTTTAAATACCACAACACCATTCTTATTCTTGCTCATTAAGGTAAGTCTCTGTCCAATTATTTGAGTTAAAATACCAAATCAGCTACTTGAAATCAGAAACTGGATACGAAAAAGGGGTTCATGTCAGCCTTAGCTTTAGGGGCGATTTGGCAGACAAATCTGCAAATGTCTTTTGACATATCCCTCTCATTTCTCTAAATATCATAATTATCAAGGCCTATGTAAATTAATTCAATGTTCTCAAACCGTTATCCATTAGATCAACATGTAAGAAGTGCTCCTTGCGTCACTGGAGTTGGCAGTCCGTTATTTGGGGTAACCAGTAAGATTTGGTGTCTTAACTTCTAAAACTATCATACAAGAAAGGTGTGTAATGTATTCACTTTGTCTGTCTGTCCGTCCGTCCGTCCATTAACAATTGGCTGGTGAATGTGATGAAGGCTACAGTTATTAACACATTCTTTTCAAATTTGATGTGTAGCGTTAGGATGACTGTATTGATTTTCAGAATTCTGCGAACTTCTATTCCACCTATGCCACCTTTTCCAAAACCATTGTGAACTTGATAGAGGCTACAGTTTCAAAGATATATAGAGAATCTCCTACGAGTAGGAGATTTTATTTATCACCCAATCCCTTCTTACATGCACAAATAGATAAATATAATTCTTTGCTGTAGATTTCACTTTTACTGAACATTACGGCGTAGTGATACATCATTTTTTGACAGCAATTAATTCAACCATTGCAAAGTCCTTTATATTGACCCAGTCTTTCCATCAAGGTCAATTGAATAACAATAGTTCATTTTTAATGAACTAATATGAACTACTGTTCTTTGAAAATAAAAAAAAGTAGTTCCTTTTCAACTGACCAATCAAATTCATGTAAAGCAAATTTCGAGTGCCTTGATATTTATCACAGTGTTTATGTTCATGAGATTATGAAGCCTATAATTCATTTTGATGTTAGTGCCCTTGATCTCTTTAAAGATCTTGTGGACCCTCTAGTGACTAAAACTAAAGTTATTTTCCTATTGATCTGAACAGAAACAAAATGTTTATGAGAGAAAGCAAGTCAATTTTCAACAATTTCCAATAACTTGAACAGCAAAATTCATCGCCTGATTAATTAAAGATGCATTATATAAGATTTTGAGAAGAGCTGACAGTTCTCATGATACAGTAATAGTTAAAATAGATAATGGGAAGGGAGTATGTTGAAAATTTCAGTCAAATTACTTCATTCAGGGTGAGATTATAGCTAGGGCTAGCAATGGATATTGATTTCAAGTATTTATAATCCCTGACCATCCACCGATCAATAATTGATAATGTGGTCGAATTATCTTGAGGCTACATATAATTTGTTTTGAAAACATTTATTTTTTGTATACTGGTATGAATAACGAATTATGCTGTAATATATGTATACATGTAGAATTTATTTCATTGATTTGACAATAAAATAATAGCATTCCATACCATAATTTTGACTCTTGGTCACTATGAGATCTATATAATTTCAATATTCCACAATATGTTACATCATGAGGAACTATTTGCTCTCATCATAAGTGTCCGACACTTCTTAGCGCTAGCTCTTTTACTCTGTGGTGCTGGCTTCTCGTCTGAAAAACAACGTGTGTTGAAGAAATTTTCTGTTTAATTATATTTACCGATCTAGCCCAAGGATGATCATTTATGGATTGTACGATTATCGATATTTTAAATCTGTATCGATTATCGATCTTTAAAAAGCTTTACCAACGATTATCGGCAATATTGATATTTTCTGCCAGCCCTATAGTTATTGCTGTTTGAAGAACAGTGTTGTCTCAATTGTGATTATTACCGTTGTTACGATAAAAAACAAAGTCTCGATTATCCAATTTTTATACGCTCACATTTGCATGTGGACGTATATTGTTGTTGCCCTGTCCCCAATCCGTCCGTTTGTCTGTCCATCCACAATTTGTTTGTGGACACTCTACAGGTCAAAATTTTTATTCGATTTTGACGAAACTTAAAATATACTCGGTAGGTCTATCTTTCAAAGATCTTGGTTCCTTTTTTCCTTTCGATATTTGCATGTATAGGACCATAACTTCATGGATTATGACCCCTGATTGTATGGAAAATCACGTTATTAGCATATGGACACTCTAGAGGTCACAATTTTCATCTGATTTTGATGAAACTTGAAATGCATGTTTATAACCCAACGATCTTGGTTCCGGTCGATATTCACGCATATCGGACTGTAACTTCCTGAATTATGACCCCTGATTGTACGAAAAATCGCGTTTTTAGCTTTTTGTCCCTCTAGAGGTCACAATTATTATCCGATTTAAAAAAACTTAAAAAAAACTTTTAAATATATCACCGTTACACCATAATGAAAATCGGATCAAAACTGCCAGACAAAATGGCCACACCTTGTACGCAAATAGTGTAAACATATGGTGTATCAAGATTGTGTACCCTCTAGAGGTCACAATTTTTATCCAATTTTAATAAAACTTTAAATTAATGTTTATATCACAAAGATTGTGGTACCTTTCGATAATCGCGCATATCCAAACTTAATTTCCTGGATTATGGCCCCGGGTTGTTTGAAAAATTGCATTTTTAGCTTGTGGACCTGCAAGAAGTCACAATTTGTATTCAATCTTAAAAAACATTTAAATATATCACCGTTACACTTCAATGAAGGTTGAGTTCGAATTTCGAAAAATCTGAACGAAACTGCAGGACAAAATGGCTGCTCCTTGTACATAAATAGTGTAAAACTATGTACAGTGCACTCTGTCACATCCGACCTCTGATCACTCCGGAACTCTGTTACATCCGACACCATTTTCATGTCCCGATTTATTTCCTTATTACTTCAGCCAAAAAATCTCTGGGTAATTCGACCTCTGTACGTTCCGGATTACGACATCAATCAGCCGTCCCATCATACGATTTCCATTGAATCAACACCGCATAATCCGGCCTTCGATCGGTGGGTGTGAAGCAAACACTTACCGATCAATTATCTGTGAGATTAAAACTGGATGGGTGTACGGTACATGTGAAGCCACAAAAGATTAACAAGCAATCACCAATCAATTATCTGTGAGATTAAAACTCGCTACTGTGGGTCTTCGTTGATTACTTTGAGAATTTTAATCTCTTATACGACAGTTGTGACAAATATCCACGAATTTCCCCCCGAAATTCACAGTTGGAAAAATTTGGTGCGCATGCTGATTGAACCTGAATAACCTATAAGTTTGGTCACCCTACGGATCTCTTCGAACCGTGTGACGACGACCTGGGATGCTCGAGTCACAGTCCGGAACGTCCCGAATTGACAGAACTGCAATCGAGTGACGCAGAATTCAGTCCTGTCACAGTTCTGTCAGTCCCGATGACGGAGGTAGTGTGAGTAAAATTGTGACGTAATTAAACACAACGAACATGTTTCGGCTGCATAGTTGGATGAGATATTTATACATCCAGTCGACACATGTGTTGTAGCCCGAAGTACCCATTTTCACTCGATTGTCACTATTTTTGGGATTGAGAGAATTCAATTCCGGAACGTTTAATCGAGTACGCCCATTATCAATGAACACGTGATAGCAAAGACAAGATTGCGATCAACTGAAGACAGCGAAGAAGATAAATTAACGACTGACTTGACCTATTCAAAATGCCTACGCATGTTTAATGAAATAAAAATTAATGTAATAAAATTTTGAATGTACAGAAAGGTTTAACATTTTTAAAGGGAATAACATTCTGGTGATTCGAAGTTGTATGTTCAAAAAAACTACATTATAATAATACTTCCGGTTTTCGAAGTTACAATATTTCCGGTTTTGCGAAAACAAGGGATTCCGACACTTTGCAGAATCCAACATATTGTAATGATCCCGTACGATGTGGGATGTGACAGAGTGCACTGTAATACCAAGGTCACAATTTTTATCGATTTTGATGAAACTTGAAATGTATGTTTATAATCCAAAAACCGTGGTTCATTTTGATATTTGCGCATATCGGACTGTAAGTTCTTGGATTATGGCCCCTGATTGTACGAAAAATCACGTTTTTAGCTTGTTGACCCTCTCGAAGTCACAACTTTTATCCAATTTTAAAAAGCGATTAAATTTATCACTCTTTCACCCTAATGACGGTTGAGTTCCAATTTCATGAAAATTGGACCAAAACTGCCTGTCAAAATTGTGGACCCTAAAGAAGTCACAATTGATGGCCAATTTTGATGAAACTTAAAATATAAGTTTATGTCCCAAAGATCTTGGTTCCTTTCTCTATTTGCGCATATCAGACCGTAACTTCCTGGATTACAGCCACTGATTGTACAAAAAAAGATGCTTTTTAGTTTGTGGATACTCTAGAGGTCACAATTTTTATACGCCCACATTGAAATGTGGTCGTATATTGTCGTCGCCCCCGTCTGTCCGTTAGTCTGTCCGGCGTCCACAATTGCTTGTTGACGCTCTAGAGGCCAAAGTTAATATCTGATTGACTTTAAATTTATACACAGTGTTTAAGGTCTTGAGACGAAGAAGCCTATTGATTTTCAGCGATTTCCGATAATTATTGCCAGAGTTATGGCCCTTGATCACTTTGAAAAATCTTGTGGGCGCTCTAGAGGCTAAAGTTAATATCCGGTTGACTTTAAATTTATACACAGTGTTTAAGGTCATGAGACGAAGAATCCTATTGATTTTCAATGATTTCCGATAATTACTGCCAGAGTTATGGCCCTTGATCACTTCAAAAAATCTTTTGGACGCTCTAAAGGCCAAATATCCGATTGACTTTAAATTTATACACAGTGTTTAAGGTCATAGACAAAGAATCCTATTGATTTTCAATGATTTCCGATAATTACTGCCAAAGTTATGGCCCTTGATCACTTTGTGACGCTCTAAAGGCTAAAGTTATCATCCGATTGACTTCAGATTGATACACAGAGTTTAAGATCTTGAGACGAACAAGTATATTGATTTTCAATGGATTTCTA